AAAACTCGGTATAATTTTGACGCCCTCCGGGTTTAAAGACAGGAGGTACATGCAATATGGTTTGTGTTCAAAATTTTAACAGAGTGCTCACAACAAAGACACAACTTTTAGGCAACATTTGAAAATCATGATTTTACAAGGGTATGCAAATTTTGACATATCTTTTTTCCTTAACTTTTTATCTTTTGTAATTTTTTTTTAAATTTGCACGCAGGGTCTGGTTGATTTCCTTTTTTAGGTAATAGTTCATTAGTTTATTACTAGTGTACCTGAAAAATGGCTTAAAACAATAACTACTGACGATATCAATCGTTAGAATAAAGTCAATACCTAAAACAAATATGATAAAGAAGACCCCGCTGGGCCTTTTGCCTTGTAGTAATCTTGGCTTATGGTTATTACTTTAATCGGAGCCGTTCCTAATCTAATTTAATTTCGAACTCCTACGATGCTGTTTACGTTTACCTGATGACATTTGGAGAAAGTTCAATCCCTTCAATGAAAATTAAAGCCACAAAGGTTTCATTATTCCGAAGAAATACGTAATTTTGAAACGCAGAGACCTGATTGTTTTTCCATAAAAAAAAGTTTTTCGTGTAACGCCTTTCCAATTAACAAAAATAGGGAAAAAAATCTTCGTATCAGAGAAGTAGTCACCCACCTCAATCCCAGGTTAAATAACAATGTTTTTTTCTAGTGCGATGACACTTAATACATAAATTTTATTTTCCAGGCCCTGATAATTGAGACTACAATCTCCCATCTCGCTCTATGGACTGATTACCATTTTCATATCTACCATTTAAATACCCAAGACCTGAACGTTTAATATTACACGCACTGGTAGACAAAATGCATTGCCTGGCAGCATGTGTGTGCAGTTGCGAGGGAAAAAGAAAAATGAACGCACTTCTAACCTATTTCAGGATTGAATTCACTACTTAGACTTCTTATCGTTCAGTTCATTAAAAATTATCGTCAGAGTCAAGAAACAAGGTTAACTCCAGATCGAGATTCTTTTGAGTTGATATAGAGTTAATTTCCATTCTCCCACTTCAAGGCGGTAGAGTTTCAGGTCACATGACGCTAGACCGAACCTCTTGACTTGGTCTTTCAGACCAGAAATCAGATTAAGTCTCTTAAACGCTGAAATAGAGAGCATATGCTAAATAAGTCGGAACAACGCCGGAAACATCGCGGAACATGCTGGAACACCGCGGAATTAAAAAAAAAAGATAAATATAAACATAAACATAAGGTTTAATAATCAGTAGTTAAAAAATATATAAATATATACATATAAAAAGATACCTCGATTTGTTTGTAGCTCGCACTCTTAGCGCTTCGAGTCCGTCATCTTGACCAGTTAACCTGTTGTCGGAGTGTTCAATTCCCGACTTGGAGAATGGTGGTTTTCGGTGTTCTAGTTTGTAACACATTCCGAAATAGAGCGGAGTTCCGTTCCAAATTTTTAATCGATTCTTGATTGATATCTTTCAATTTGATTCTCCTTTTCAGCTCGATATAAACTAATTACAGCCACACTGAATAAATAAACGGAAGATTAGGTGTCTGTCAACTCATCCCACGTGCGAAAGGCACTCATTTCCGGTTTACGGATAATGATTCTTCCGGGACCCCTTTTTCGGTATCAGGAAAGGACGGATAGAATTTGTGACGTCAAAAGATAGACAAGATTAAAAAACTTTAAAAGACTTTAACCAAAAGTTACTTTTCTACTCTGCCAGAAAAAATAAGTATCCTGAAAAGTTTTCCAGTTGTTAGGATCACATCACAAGACGCTTCTCCTCTAGACTTGAAGCTAATATCAAATATAATGATCTTTGATCTGCCTTAGTTACATCAAAATTATTAAACATGTGTATGGAAAAAACATTGTAATTAGCTAGCTTTTAAGCAGAAAACGTTTTGAGGGTAAATATCTAATGTTGGGCTAGAGAGGCGGGTAAAGTATTCTCTCTTGTTGTTGGGTTAATAAAAACAATTTTCCTTTTCAAAATTTCATTTATGTATTTATTTTTTTCGTTTGTTAATGTCGTAAGTATTTTTGTTGCTATTTTCTAAAAACAAATTCCCTCTTTGCTGGTGGTATTGGTAGTAAGTAACTTTGCGCTTTGCGTTTTAGCAAGTATTATTATTATCAGTAATGTATGTAGTTTCATTAATACTGATATGATTGGTGTTGACATTTTAGGTAGTTTTTGCAATTTTTCCAAAAATTACCTTTTCATAGATTAGTGCGTCTAGTTTCAGTGAATATAGTTAATCTATACCACACAGGCGAATAGTATTATACAGGCGCGCTGATTGGTTGATCCGGAGGTGATAAGCAAGCACTATTCACCACCGAACAGCCAAAGAGACGAAATCGCGCGTCAAAAATTTAATTGCCGACCATTTTTTTGGTATATTTACAGAAATAAACTAGTTTTTTGTTTGGTTTATATACGGCATATACCAAGAAAATTATTCACCTCGTTGTCAGTGAAAGTGGTAGATATTTACTTCCTCGTTTCGCGGCTCGGTAAAATATCCCACACTTTTTGCCTCTACTTCGGTGAATAATTATTAATTATTATTGGCCTTGTAAGTAGTATTAGTATTGTAAGTGATATAAATGTTCTAATTAACATATAGAGAAGCCTTGACTGTGTTCTGCTCTGTTGTAAAGCGCACAGGAAGCGGCTAAAGCACGAAAGAAGTGTTGGGAGAAACATGAGACGTAATCTCCCCACTTTTTGAGTGCTCTAGTCGCTTCCTAAATGCTTTAGAACAGAACAGAGCACAGTCAAGGCTCCTCTATTTGTTTTGCAATAAAGAATCCGTTAAAGTTCCCAAGCATTCCTTCCAATTTTCAAAACAAACTTTATTCCAAAGCGAACAAAAGTGTCGTCGGCATGCTCTATACTCAAATAAAGCACGTTACAATGAGCCAATCAGGATCCCTGGTAAAATGGTTCAAATGATCTGATTGGCCGCACAAGACTAAAGCTGTCAATCCCGCCTGAAGTTTTTTAGTCTCTAACACAGAATCTGAAAGTGAAATGTTCAGTAAAAATTCGGCTCATAAAAACATGCACGTTTTTTTACATGACAAGAAGAAAACAAACTGTTCAAGGTAATTGTTTTATGAATGAACGACAGCGGAATTTACTGTTTTTCTTAACACGAAACTTTATTTACTACGCGAGTGTTAGCTGTGTTTGATTCTTATTATCGTACGTAAGCTTGCAATCGAACTGAGCGTGAAAATCTTGGACTGTCCATTTCGTTTTCTCTTTTAGGATTTCCGTCTCTGCTTGCGTTATAATAACGTAAATTACAGCGCCTGGCCTTTTTAAAAACCATTGTTTGGTTCTTCTGTTGGTACATGTTGGCTCGCTTGTTCCGAAATTTTACTTTCAATTAACGAAAAAAGGGTTATAGAGAAGTCCCGGAAAGGGTCGGACATGGCACAATTTGGCCGATGACGTGACAGCTTTACCTCAGCTCTATACTCTCAAAGAGCACGCTCTTTCAACCAATGACAACACGTGTTATATCCAGACTTTATTGTAACAAATGATAGTGTCAGCACATAAGTTGTGCCAGCATAGTAAGTATTGTAAGTAATGTACGGCATATGAATTAGTAATAACAATAACAATAATAGTAATAACAAAAACATGGTAGGAGATGAACTTTATTCGTTTGTCTCACGATGGAGTCACTTTGGATGTTGATCGCGACGTTTCGACTGCAATACTGCTAGTCTTCATCATTAGGTAGTGTTCCCTCATAGGTCTGCATTGATTAAGTGTTGTGTTCTTTGATCGTTGACTTTCTATTCCATTATCCCTATTGATGTTGTTAGGATGAAGTTAATCGGAGGGCGCTAACGAAATGAGGCATATTCCTATTTAAAGCAAGGTTAAGTTTATTGGTCGTGGCCCCACTGGTACACACGTAGGGTCAAAGAAGCTATTCATGTAAGACTTCATCCCAACAACATCAATAGGGATAGTGGAATCGAAATTCCCGAAGCTTGGATGTTTACAGGTTTATCGATCAACACACGAATGATTAGCCTGTCTCTTATATCGTGACACAAACGATTAAAGTAACGCTTATTAATCTATTAAGCAGCGATGAACAATAACCTTTTCCATAAAATGAGTTTATTTTTGATTCTGGATAACATGGTTCTTTCCTTACTATTTTTAAAAGCTATAGGCTATGTTATTGGTTAACGAATATATTGTTATTGCTTCCATAAGCAGACAATTCAACTAAGTAACACCAACCGTGTAGGTTGTTAATTCTAAGACTAGTCGATCTAAAGAAAGCAACGCACAATTATACTGAGAAACTTGACAGATGATCATTACATATGAAACATTTGCTATTCGTTTAAAAGCAGAATCATAGCACTATAAACTTTCGGCTTTGACGATCTCCAGTTAGATTGTTTTACATGTCAGCAATACAGAACAAAAAGGTCATAAAGGAGCAGAAGGACAACGAAGCTGGTCAACAAAAATACCTGTGTTCTCCGTGATGTCGTTGTCATGTCGCTAAATATCTAGGTGTCAATCCGAAAACAATCAAGGAAAATCAAGATAACAGTTCATTGTATTAAAGAAACAGTTATTACTGTTTGGTCAGTAATTTTGTCCTCGATGTTGAATGACCATAGAGCCGCATTCATAATGAAAACTTGATACTGCTGCACAAAAAACGTGTTAACCAATCTTTACACGAACAACTTTATGGGGTAACGTTGACAAATACTTAAAAGCCATTACAGTTATCAAAGCTAGTATCTTATGAATTCATCCAAGCTCATTACATTTTCAAGTCACCTAACAAGTCAGTTTTTGAACAAGGAACTTATCTTGCCAAGAAAACTTAGCATGTAACCCTTTCCAAGTAACTTTCGCTCGCTAAACTGCGGCTCAAGTTCGTCCAACTGTCTATTAAAGAGTTCATTTCGGTTAAAGTCATTTGTTTATAGGACGCCTACATCGGCATCTCAAGAGGTTAATGAACCCTCGTCGAAATTCATCATTCATTCCAGCATAGAGAATCGGATTTACTGAGCTATTCAAATACACCATGGAGCTTCCTAGCGTTAGTAGTACCCTAAGATAAGGAGAGTTCTGCCCGGAACCAAACTCGTACCACAGCCACACTACTTGGTTGGGGAGCATGCAGACCACATACAGGAGAACCACTGTAAGCAGCATCTTGACTATCTTTGTGTTCCGCTCAAGCCGCTGAATAGCGCTACTTTGACCAGTTCTGGGACATTTGGGAGACAAAACAAGTTTGTTAAGCCTGGTTGTAAATTTCTTGTTGGGCAGAGGTGATCCAGATATTGAGTTCACATCGCTGACTTCGACGGACAAGAAGCTGCTAGATTGACCTGCGCGAGTAATTTCTGGAGTAGCATTGTCTTGTTCTTTTTTCTCCACCGCGAAACGTGCAGCTTGATCCCGCAGCTTTAATACTACCTTGGTGTAAGCAAAAGCGATGATGAAGATGGGAACGACAAACTGAATGACGAACAGCCCCAAAGTGTAAGTACGCCTTGCTACAGCACTTGGCCACACTTCTCCGCAGTAGTTATCCTTGATTGACAGAACCAGTAGATAGGGTATCACAAGTACGTAGGACACTGACCACGTGGTAGCAATAATAATGGTTGTTTGTATTGAAGTGAAACGGGGCTTCCAAGGATGAACAACAGCTCGGAACCTATTTGTAAATGGGAATTGCTAAGATCCAGAATTATGCTATAACTGGCTCAACAAACTCTATGGATGCATTCGATCAAACCTAACATCTTTTGAAATTATTAACACCATAAGCCACTAAGAACCGGCTGAAAGTACACGAAAAACATCGTTCTTATCAATAATCATGATGACGTTTCGATCGAGCCTTAAAGTCATTTGTCCCTAGAGACAAAAAGAAAAAACATAATTACACGTTGTGCTGTTACTTTGCTTTTTCGTTCAAATAGAGAAATTAATCTCATAAAAGTAACATAGCTTAATTTCATGTTGAAATATCGAGTTTGTTTCAAAATGATTTTTCTTTCTCTGTGTCGATATGTTGATATTACCTGTCGTAACTGATAGCAACAAGGGTGGCCGAGGAGCACGTGGTCACTGACGTCATGGTAGGCCATAGTATCTTGCACATTACCGGTCCTAGGGGCCAGCGAGGGTACGTCAACTTCAAAACTACTTCAAAGGGAATACAAAGCATTGCGACTGTCAGATCAGCTACGGCAAGGTTTACCAGTAGAAAGTTACGTGTGGTGCGCATGCGCGGAGTTCGTGCAATGACGAGACAGACCAAAGTGTTCCCGATAACGCTGACCACAAAGATCGTTGTGAACATTGTGTACTGTACAGCATTTAGCCACTTAGGCTGGGTTTCTTGTGCCTCATTTGTGAAGCTGTCATTTATTGAAGAGTTGCTTACCATCATGATGAGTTGAGTTTTCTTATTGGTTGAACCTTGAGAGGGAAACATTTTAAAGAAAAATTAGTTTTAAACTAAAGCATGCATTTTTCCTCCGTAATATCTTCTGCCTTGAGATATCTTCAAGATGTCATGCTTCTCGGAGATGCTAAAAGGATCCAGAAATAACACCTCGTCGGTTGCAAATTCGCTCGCATGGACATTTTATGCGGGGTCTATTTGTGACAGATTGTCTACACCAAACAGATTTAAGAAAACGCAAGATAAATTTGACGTTATTCTCCGCAAGAGTTCAGGTGTATGAGTTGAAAATAACTTGAGAGGAATTAGCTAAATCCTCCCTTGTCGTTAATAATCCAGAAATCAATAACGCTAACATAGGATTTTATGCTCAACGAAGAAGAACACTTACTCGTGAAAAGAATCGCAGAGCCTGCTTCAGCCAGACTTCACAGAAGAGAACGATAACAAGAAAGCAAAAGCCACAAAACGAGTTTCAAACGTGCGGGCGTACTTTACAAATTTAGTCGGTGTTTTACCTGGGCGTTTGTGAAGTGACAAAATGCGTTGAAATATTTGTATTTATTCATTTCCTTATTCGAATTAATCTTATTTATTATCTGCCGGAGCCAATCTAAATGGCTAATGAGAAACCAAAGTGAAATATAAAACAAAATCTGGAGATAGAAAAATAGGAAGTATACCTGCTGACAAATTAACCCTAATTATTTTTTCTCTCTTCGGGTAAAGGGTTTGAGAGCAGGTAGCGCTTGGAACATCGGCCCACAGCAACTCTTAAAAATTAAAAATCATTATGAAATCTATTATAGCATGCTTTTAGCTCAGTGTTTTGACAGAACTTCTATATGTGAAACATTTCCGTATTTTTATATACAAATTTAGGTGCAAGAACTGCGCGACACACTTCTTGGCGTCCTTCCTTCTCTCATAAAATTCTGCCTACAAATTGAGTTCACAGCTTTAGCGATAATGCATTGTTAAAGGTATGATCCAATTGTAAATAGCGGAAACCATTATTAATTACTTACCACCCAAATCAATTCAAATCTGTAGAAGTAGTTTTAAACCTCGCTTTCATTCTCTGAGCAGGTAAAAATACCTTTTTCTTAAATCTGCGAGCTGAAGCTACGTTAAATAAGAAGAATGGTTCCCTTTTTGCCTTGTAGGATGAGTTGCAGTTATTGTAGCCATCAGTAAGGAAGGTTCAAGATGAACATTTCCTCCCTGCTGTGACTGCTAATCGTTTTGTGAGAGTGTTCAGTCAGATTTCGGAAACTGTGGATTAAACGGCTAGCTTTATCTCTCAATTATATTAAATGTTCTCTCAGAAACTGAATGGAAACTAAAAAATTTGCATTTTACAATTTAAAATGGCAGTAAGAATAATTTGTCTAGCGTTTTGCTATAATTTAGAGGGATCATCAATTAAAAAAAGAAGAAAAACATGTTAGGATTGCGGTTTACCACGTTTAGTTATAGTAATTTTTCACTTATTTTACCACAAGAATCTTTGATTACAGCTGAAAAAAGAAACTGAAACATTTGACTTTTAACGTTTCGTGATTAAAATATGAAAACGGAAGTTACACTTATTCATTTAAATTCAATCTACGAATTTGGCTAGCTTCAAGGGCAATATCTATGGCCTGTTACAAAAACTATTCCAAGAAGCAAAATAAGTACATTTGCCTGATTTAAACAGCATTTTGCCTTGCCTTGGAAGCAAATGTAGGCTTACCAATAAGCTGCTGGGTTCTGTAAAACGCCAATACAAAAATTCATGTAACTTGAAGGACTTCCACCTTGTTAATTTTAATATACTCCCGTAATCAAGGGCCTTATTTTTGAGTCCAAAGCCCATCAATGCCTGAAAGTGTCACCGACACACGGAAGATTTAGTATTGCCAAATCATTGAGTTTCATCTCATTTACCCCTCGCAGAGGAAGAAGAAAACCATGAACAAAATGTTGACCCTCTACACAAATTGTGAAACACTCAGAAAAATAACCTTCCCAGTAGACTGTAATTTGCCTTTCATTAGGCTGAAAGATCACTTAGGATGATTCAAGTGGCAAAACCATCTCTGCAATCCATTAACTTAGGACTATCAAGTAGTTTCTAACAACGGTCTGTTTACAATTCAAGGCATATTTCATTTTGAAGCAATTTGAAACTCATGGCTGCAGATTTTGTCTCAGTACCACTTCGTTGTGAAAGTACATTTGAGTCGTTACTAAGTTAGAGTTAAAAATCGTCAAATATGGCGGTGAAAACTTAAATGCAAAAATTTCGAAGTCTGCTAAAAAGCCGGTATTTACTCTGCGCGGAAATGATGTATTACTACAAGCCGTATAATTGTATTTGCCATTCGCCTTTCTAAATAATCTGTTTATTCTTCTAATCATAGATTCATACCTTTCCTTTTAGCTTCCTTTGGTCTAGTCCCAGTACGGATGATATGTTTAACGACATTATTTTTCGCCTTGTTGCCCCCTCAGTATACTTTTAAATTTGAAGGTTGCATGTCCAATTTAACTGTGCGACGCAGTAATAAATCACGTCATTTCTGCGGTAATTTTGCCATCTGTGTCGTATTCAAATTTGACAATAATGCAAGTTGATTGACAATTCTTTTTAAAACACCATTCTATACTGCTGAATTTGTTTTTACGTACAGTTTGATTGGTTGTGTGGCTAAATGGCTCCTGCGATTAATTACCTACAAATTGTGTTCAGTTGATGATGCTAAATTTACTGTCTCCAACAAACTGTAATGTCTACCACATTAGAATTCACATAGATAGCCTTACCTAAACACGCAGGGCTTAGTGAATTCGAAAAAGTTTATAATGCAAGAATCTAAAGGGAAAGAATCTCGGTCGGAGTGGTGTATTTAATCTGAAAATGTATGTCATTGTCCTTAATCGCTCTCTAAGGATGTGAACTTGCCTGATTTTTCAGCGCGAAAACGGCGTTGAGAAATTGAATCGCTAAGTGCGCCTCGTCAATCGTTGCTGGTAAGGAGTAATAGTACAAACTGTGGATCAGATTGTTGAAGTTGTAGCTTTTGCCCTTGGAATACTGGTATTTCCCGACGGCTTGTGTATTTTGGGAAAATAATAGTAAATTCTACATGCCTGGAGCCTCTGCCGTGAAGGAGGAGCTTTGAGGCCTTTGTAGACATTTTCATTCCTGTGGTTAGACAGCAACATGATATGGCAGTTTGATTTGACAAGCAATTTTGAAAGATAAAGTTCTAAACGACTATCGTTGCCAATGTGGAACTAAAATTTCACAACGAGAACGACTCAGAGACAAAAATGCAATTTACGCAAGTTTGACGTTTTAAAACACAGCAGCCGAACTGCTGTCAAAAGTTTGATTTGAAAAATTTACAGTCTGTAGCGTATACTTTGGTGAACGTTTTCATTTTTAAATAAAAAATGTATTAAGGAAAATTCATTTGTTGTATGTAATGCAAAAGCTACCCCGAAAGACATTAATTACGTAATTTTGTATCGTTATCGCTTGAGCTTCTTCGTCGAGGTCGTGTGGCCTGGGACTATCGAGGAAGGCAAAAGATTGTCAGTTGCGGTTCTTTTTTTTTTTTTTTTTTTTTTTTTTTTCACTTTTTTCTAAATTTCTCGGGCTCAAAGGGAAGAGATGGTGAAAGTCCAAATCAAAATTAGGTGAACTACTCCTAAGAGCAAAGGCTTTAAAATGTTTGGAATTCTGCCAGAAAACTGAAAAAAATGACGTCGCAGCCATGATTAGATACTTTCATCTACAAACACCTATCTACCAATGAGAGCAAGCATACTATCTTGAATAAGCTATCATAGAACACAGAGCTTGCTCTACAATTCCTTTTGAAAGGGTTTTTCGGGTAATGGCTGTTATTGTGATTGGCTCAAAGCTAGGGTTAAAGGGTTTTCGCTGTTTCCCGATTGCCTCAGAGTTTTGCGACTGATGAAAATTCGATATCGAAGACATCCCCTGATTTTCTGGGATGGCTGGTGAGAAACCTGAAAAATTGGGAGTGTTTCTCTATTAAAAGATTGAAAAGTTCCAAACGGATTGCTTTACAGTACAATAACTTCAACTAGAGCCACCTGAGGTCAGTTTTCACCGACCAGAAACTGATTCGCTTAATTTACCCTGCATTTTCCGACTGCACTGCGGGAAACAGATGCAGCACATTCAATATTTTCATCGATAGATACGTTGAAGCGACTGCATTTGAATTTCAGTCTGCAAGTCACCAAAGCGACCCTTTGTCGAACAAATTTTAAACGATATTAAATGATACTTGAGAGGTTAAAATTGTTAGTTATTTGTCTAATTATTTATCTTGGATACTTTTCCTTCGAAACATTTAATATGAGTACAAACTAAAACACGTACTTACGGTTATTAAAAATGCAACTTTCAAGCTTGACAAGTTTTGACTGCTGTCAAGCTGGTATGCAGCCTGCAAATAAAGAGAATTTAAATGAATGTCGTGTTCCTGTTTGAAAGAAATTCTCGCTTATTTACGTCATAATGGCAGCGCCAGAAGGAGAAGTTTAAAAACAACTTTGTTCAATTTCTAGCCACACAAGTTGATGATGGCGGAAAATATATCACCCAAAATTAAATAAGGAACGTGAAGAGCCTCGAGAGCGAACGAATGGAGCTTTTTCCGTATCCAGGTAAGCATCCTGTGACCAAACTTGGCCATTTACCAGCCATCTCGCAGCAAATGTCTTGTTCATCATCAATTACTGCATCGACAGAACTTTTCATCTTACCGGAAAAACTTCTGAGCCGGCTAGACAGAAAAAAAGTACTCACCAAAAAGAATATTTATAGGCTGCGCAAATTTAAAGTATAGCGACGATTTGGAGATGAAAACACGGAAATTCGAAAACTACGACTCCTGTGCAAATACTAAACGGAAAAAGCTGTACTCAGCTTATCACCTGTGCTTTCATAACAAAAACAA